TTGGTGAGATTGTTGAGCAGTTGCTGCTGCTGTTGCTGTTGTTGCTGCTGGTGCTGTTGGTGTTGCATGCTGCCGCGTAGCAGATTGTTGTTGCATCCATTGTTGAGATTCGGATTGTTGTTGGAGTTATTGTTGCTCACATTACTATTGTTGTTGTTGGAATTATTGTTTGTGTTGCCAGCCAGCAAATGCGGCAGATTGTGCACCACTTGCAGGGGCAGGCTACTCAGCGGTGGCAAGGCCGCCGTCTGCGCCATGTTGCCCAGTAATTGTTGTTGCTGGTGTTGCTGCTGCTGCTGTTGTTGCTGCTGCTGTTGCTGCTGCTGTTGTTGCAACAACTGCAGCTGATTCTGTTGGTGTTGCAGGCCATGCTGCTGCTGCTGTTGTTGCTGTTGCAGGGCCAATGCTGGCGGGGGCATTTGATAGTCCATTCTCATTGCTGAGATCACAATTTGCTTGATTTTTGTTGTTAAATTTAGTTTATACGATTTACACTATATTTTTTTGTTTCAATTTCTCAGAGGCATAGGCATTGTTGTTACTTCTGCTACGCCTGCTATGAATTGAATTAATTTTAAACTCTTAAAAAAATAGTTCAGGTAAAACTGATTTCTAATATGTAAAAAAAAAATGCACACATAAAAAACAAACAAACAAAAAAAATCAATTTTAGAACAGCTTTTTATCGCACGCGCTGTGTGTCTTCTTTCGCCCCCTTTCTCGCCCCCGCTTCTGATTCTTCTGCGACGATCACCGCACTTTAACCACAGCTACAACAACACAACCAAAGCCAATCAACCCGAGCAGAATAGAGCAGGGCAGGGCAGAGCAGAGCAGATCAGAGCGGAGCAGGGCAGAGCGGAGCAGGGCAGGGCAGCTTTTGAGCGCCTTCAAAGCTCTCTCGCAAGCGGCACACACGCAAACGCAAAGTTCTGAGCGCTCTTTGTCTTAGTTTTGGTTGTTTTTCCTCGCTCTTGCTCTCTGTTTTTGTTTTTTCGCATTCGCAATTCTTCTATTGTTTGTTTTGTTTGCCTTTTCTATTATTACTACGCCTCCTGCCCGCCGCTTCTGCTTGTATTTCGTTGTCAACTATTCCGCGTACTTATAGTTATCGTTGCTTTTGCTATTGCATTGCTATTGTTGTTGTTGTTGCTTCTGTCTGGGGTCTGGGCACTGGGCACTGGGTTTCGGTTCGGCTCGGATCGGTTCTCGCTGCCGATGAGAAAAGTTTGACCTTGAATTTGCAGCAACAACAGCAATAGTAATAGCAAAAACCTAAGCAATACTATATACTATTTCTGTGCTATGCGGTTTTTTTTTGTGTTTATTTTTTTTTTGTTTTTGTTTCTTTTTTTTTTTGCCAGTTGTCGTCGCACTTATTCTGCTGGTTGTAGTTGTTGTAGCTGTGGTTTTTGTTGGGGATGGCAGCTAGCGTTTTTTGTTTTTTTTTGTATATGAATTCCCTCTGCTTTTTTACGAGTCAATAAATATAGATATATTTCTTTTTCTTTTCTTTTCTTTTTTTTTTATTATATTTGATATTTTGTATTTATTCTATGACAGTATGTATTTCGCATCGCTCTTTGGACACTTTGTTGTAGGCTCGCTCACTTTTTGTTAAAGATACAAGAAATTCTATATTTTACACTGCACTACAAATAAATTGCAATCCAGGCGGGAGGATCGGGCGGGAGGATCTCCTCTGGCCAGCGCAGCTTCGGGGAGGGGGGCAAACGAAAGTTCACAAGTTCGCACGATTTCGAGTTCGAATTCGAAAGCTAAGGCCGTGCTAAAGACGAAGACACGCGTCGTATATTTTGTTGTATTTTATGGGTTTTTCGGCTCGTTTGCATCTGTGTGCAGAGAGTGAGTGTGCGGTGCGGTGCGGTGCGATGCGGTGCGGGGTGGGGTACGGTACGGTACGGTTGCGGGTTGGTGGTCTTCCGTTTTTGGGTTTTCAGTTTTGGGTAGCGCCGTAGAGACCGAGAAACGAACCGGTGCCGCCGGACTGCGAACGCTGAGTGAACGCGCGCGGCGTCGCCAGGCCAGCCTCATGCAACGCAGCTTCGATGGTGGGGATGGGGACCCCCGACGCCCCGCCCTCTCCCCCTTACAGAGGAGAAGCAGCAGCGGGAGCAGCGGGAGCAGCAGCAGCTGCAGTAACCGAAATGTTGCGACTGCGCAGCCAACGTCAAAGCCAAACTTGAAACCGAAAGCATAAAAGCGGCAGTCGCAGCTCTGCTCCCGCTTTCTCACTCTCTCTCTCCCTCTGTCGCTTTTTTGCGCATTCTCCGCCTGTTTACTTTCTTTCGTGCAGCGCAGCCTGCCAAACTTCGGGTCGGCGTTCCATCTCTGTCTTTCTGCCTTCGTGCGCTTCGCCACGCTTCGTGTGAGCTGCGCTGCCGCTGCACTAGATGCGGAAGCGTAGATTTTCCACACGCGCATGCCAGGCAGCAGCAGCGACGCCAGCGCCGGCGCCAGCGCCAAAGCTAGCGTAAGCGTAAGCGAAAGCGTCAGCGGCAGCAGCAGCAGCTTTGTTTTGAGTGAGATGAGCAGCCAAAAGCTTTCGCTGCGTTCGAGTGAATGTGAACGCTTTTTGCAAGCTTGCCAAGCCCTCCCACATTTTCCCCGCCCACGATGGATGATACGAATACGAATGAAAAGCTTACCAGCCAAAAAACAACACACAAATGTTTCAAAACTCACAAAAAACAAGAGCCATTCCAGAATTTTTCAAGTCGATTGAAGCTTACCTGGAAATGAAATAAAACAGAGAAATAGTTAGAAATTGTCCGCTTGGAGAATCATTAGAAAATTTATAGAATAACGATCGTCGCAGTCAAGGCTGCCAGATATATATATGTATATACATACATATATACTATATGTATTTTCCCATGCATGGGGGGCCCACCCACAGGCCGCTAAAACTGTCATTTATCCATTTTACTCGCAGCTTTCCCCACACTCGGAGCCCACACGAATCTGGCCGTACAAATTATTATTCATTCTGCCTTTAAAAGGTCATTTCCAGTGGATTCAATACAGCACAAATTTCACCGCTCAAATGATGAATAGAATGGTCGAACAGGAGGCGTAGGCAGGGGGAAGGGGGGAGGGGGAGGGGCGCACAGTAGGTGCAGTCCACCCACATTTGCCATTCATTTGGCATATGCATATTTCCATCACTTGCCATCAAAAATCTCATCAGCCTAATTCCGAAATCTAATCAAACCGAATGCATCATCCAACTGACCTCAGCGTGAAAGGAACAAAAAAAAAATGGAAATGGAAAATGCTGGTGGCAGCCTAGTCGCGCTTTTCAAAGGGAAACCAACTAAAAAATACAAAAAATACAAAAAAAGGACCACCAAAATTTGTGCCAAATGCATTGACAAAGTAGATCAAAAAGCGCTGAAAGGGCCAGAGAAAGGATCAAATACAATCAAAACAAAACAAAAACAAAAACAAAAACAGAACAGAAAAGCCAAGTCTTTTATGGCACAGACCGTTTCAAATGTCAGGTGTACATTCCATATAATTCTCATTAAATGGAAAATTTAATGGAATATCAAATAATTTTCCAGCACTAATTGCCAGCCATAAAATACAATGATGTTGGAATAGAAAAAAACACAGAGGGAGACAGGCAGACACCGATCGAATAGAGAGAGAGAGAGAGAGAGAGACTGATAACAAATTGAATTACAACGCAGTTTGTCATAGGTCGCCAGAAAGTCTTATCACACGAAAAGAAAATAAATGAAAGGTTCTTTGAGTTGAACAAATAACGAAAATCTCATTGCGGTAGGGCAATGAGGCAGACATTGGACCTGACAAACGCTTTAAAAAATTCCAAAAATACAGATACATATCTGCAGTGACAGTCGCAGATACATGTGCCTGCATCTGTATCTGTATCTGTATCTATATCTATATCTGTATTTCGTTTCGCATTCGATCCAGACGACAGACGACGTCAGTCCACTCACGTGTGCGCCGCAAGCTTTCTTGACTTTGAGCTGGAAATGCGCAAAGTTGTACGCCGCTGACGTCCGATGATATCAGCTATTGGAATGAAAGGGATGGATGGATGGGTGGATGGATGGATGGACGGAAAGGGGGGTGGGCTGGGGGTTGCAGTTAGAGACAAACAGCGAGGGTGTGGGAGCAGGAGAGCGACATCTACTTTGTAGAGTGAGTGGAATTCTCGGGATCTCCCCAATGGAAAATTTTCGCAAAAGAAAATGAAACATTCAGTACATTTTGAGCACCTTAAAACTTGTATATGGACATTCCTATTATATCTGTGTATTAGGGGGTCTCATTGGAGCTGCTTTAAACCACAGTTTGCCATTAAACGATACATTTATCTCCCTATGGCTAAAGGCTTTTCCACCATATTATTTAATTAACTTTGATCTGAAAACTTCATGTTTTCGGTATTTCTCGGTATTTTTATGGTCATGCTTCCCTTACTATTTTCTCCTAGAAGAAAGATGTGATGCTTGATCTAAGTCTTTCCCCAAATTCTCTCTAACAGATTGAACTATCTGAAGAAAATACCAGAAAATTCGCCCAATCTCTGTTAAAGGTATATTCCTTAGCCTGTATTAAGCCAAGAAATATCTGTGCCGTGCGACAGAGGTTTAAATTTCCTTTTTAAAAATCAGAAATTCGCATCAATATATGGCCTTGAGTTTACCTGAAATCGGAGCTTGAATTTGAATTGATCTCCGCGAAAACCACGTGTACTTTTGCCCGGTGCGAAGGCCTTGGTTTATTGCAAAAAAAACCTCGAAAACGAATCGAACTTAGAACCAATTATGATAGAAAAATCATTTGGAAAGTGCGTCTTACTTTGACCTTTTTAGCACTTGCAATGCGTACATCTGGGAAACACCCATAGATATATCTGTATATTTGTGCAGAGATATTCCCAATCAATGCCAATCCCGATCCCTTTCAATCCCTTTCAATCGCCTTCGACCGCCTCTCACCTGAGCTAGATGGCTGAAATCTCGCCTTGAGGCTGTTCAAATGGGTCTGATGCTCGTTGGCAATCACTGCCGCTGCCACTGCATTTGCCACATGATCCACGGAGGACACATTCGTGTTGGTGTTGGGGTTGCTGCTGCTGTTGTTGTTGCTGTTGCTACTATTTTGCCTGGCCACCACATTGCTGTTGGGATTGAGGGCTCCCGCTGATGGAGTGTTGCTGCTGGAGCTATTGGAGCTCGCATTGACGACGGCCTGACCGCCACCAGCGACATTGGCAGCCGCGGCCGCAGCTGCTGCTGCCACATTGCAGCCGGCAGCGGCCACTGCTGCTGCTGCTGCTGCCGCCCCATTCCCCTGGGGATCCATGAAGGCGCTCCGCTGGTAGTGGGGATTCTCCTGGTAGAGCCTCTGGTACGTGAGCGTCGGCAGGGTCCACGAGTTGTTGCTCTTGTAGTGGAAATTTCCGGTTCCGAAGATGGAGTGGGTGCTGCCGCTTCCACTTCCACTTCCACTTCCGCTGTTGTTGTTGTTGGGGGCGGGGGCTGCCGCTGCCGAGGAGAGGGTGTGGGCCAGTTGGGCGGCGTGATGTTGCTGCTGTTGGGCGTGTTGCTGCTGCTGTTGCTGGTGATGATGATGTTGCTGCTGCTGCTGTTGCTGTTGCTGCTGTGGGTGGGTGTGGTGCGGGTGCGGGTGCGGGTGCTGGTGCGAGTGGGGGTGTGGATGCGCTGGGTGGCTATGGGGCGGTCCATGAGGCGGTCCATGGGGATGGTGCTGCTGCTGCTGCTGCTGGGCAGCGGCATGCTGTTGAGCGTGATGTGTGTGTTGTTGCTGCTGGATCTGCGCGGCAGCCACAGCGGCAGCATGTTGCTGGTGTGCATGCGCCTGCTGCTGCTGTTGTAAATGTTGCTGCTGTTGCTGTTGCTGCTGTTGCTGCTGGTGGTGGTGCAACGCTGCCGTCTGTTGCTGCTGCTGCAGGGCCCAGGCATTCACGCCACTGGTGCTGCCACTGCCACTGCCACTGGCACCGCCTCCACCGCCAGCGCCCTCTGCACTGCTCTTGCCCGAATCATTGCTGCTGACGCTGCTGCGATGGTTATCCAGGGTGCCCGTGGATCCGGTGAGGCTGCCATCGTTGCCACTGTCGCTGTTGCCGCTGCTATTGTTGCCACTGCTGCTGCTGCTGTTGTTGTTGTTGTTGTTGTTGTTGTTGCTGCTGCTGGGGGCCCCGCCACTGGCCACGGCCGCAGCGGCAGCCACCTGAGAGTTGAGCTGCTGAAAGTACTGCGACAGTGTGGCATTGGTATGCTCCTGGGCAAAGAAGCTGGCGCACGAGTTCGTATCCGACGACATGATCGCTAATCACTGATTACTGATCACTGATTATTGATCTCTGATCACTAATCACTGGAATGTGTGGCCTATCTGATGCTTTAGCTGGGACTATCACTGGGTTCTGTCACTGCTTTTCGATTGTTAGAGCCTGTGGCCTGTGGCCTGTGGGCTGTGGGCTTAGGTGATCACCTCCTTGTGCTGGACGCTGTTGTAGCTGAACCTTGGGCCACGGCCGATAGTTGTGCGCATTGTTAGCCAACACTGGTATTCGTTCACTGTGGTTTCGTTAAGTTTATGTCTTGGTTTGGTTTGGCTTTCGTTCAGCTCTGAAAATAGTGCGCTTTCATTTTGAAAACTCAAATTAGATTCATTCCGGTGTTTCTCCCTCTCTCTCTCTCTCTATCTGTGCTCTCTGTTTAGCCAATTGTCGGGAATGATCATGAGGTGTGGCAGTGTTGGGTGATGATTCAGTGATTCGTTGATGATTGTTGATCGATTAAAGATCACTTCGATAGATTGATTATGTGTGTGTTTGTGAGTGTCCAACTGAATGATTGCGATTGTTGTTTGTTTGTGTGATAATGGAATGCACTTTGATTTTGAGTTTGATTTGCTTTTCGCTCTATATAGAGATTGATGATCGTTTGGCGATAACGAATAAGAAAAGGCATTTCTGTGTGTGTTTTCTTTTGCTTTTCAATCAATAATAATACGTTTTTCTGTGCAGTTTTCTTCGGGAAATGGCATTCTCTGCACTTTTCTTTTATTCCACATTAAAAAAAACACAACAAAAAAATGTACTATTATGTTGTTAATTAATTGAAATAGAAGTCTTCTTCCTTTCTTGTGGTAATACCTTTTCTTATTCCCTTAAGAAAACCTTGATTTCTGGGCTTTTCTTTTGCTTTCTGTTGTTTGTTTGTTTGGTTGTTGTTTTAGACACAATATTATTCCATCCGGAAATTGGATCCGTAACTTTGGTGCCGCTGAAGTTGCGAAAAAAGAGAGATCTTTCGTTGCGATCGCTGATAAGAGCCCCACTGGCTCTCTCTCGCCCTCCCTCGATCTCGCTCTCTCTCTCTCTCGCTCTCTCTTTGTCTCTCTATTTTTATAGTTTTGTTTTTGCACGCCCACATGCACACATTGGCTGGATTTCACAATTGTTGCACTTGAAAATGATTATTAATTATTTGCACATACAAAAAAAAAAATAGTTTTTTATTTCCATTTGCTGGCAAATTTCTTTCTAGAAAATTTCCCTATGGAGAAATCAATTAAGATTTATTTAGATTCGGTTGCGTTTTTCCTTAAATGTTACTACTACAAAAAAAAAATACAAAAAAATTTTTAGATTTTTGTTTGATTTCCGCTCGAGGAGGAGCCACAAAGAACGGAGCAACCGCCGACGATGATTTTCACATGAGAACGCGATGCGACCGAATGCCGGCCGCCGATCCAATAGCCAGGGTCTCCGGTCTCCGATTCTACGGGCCCTCTGCCGCTGCCGCTGCCACTGCCTCGGCTGCAGTCGCTGCCGCCAGCCAGCCGAGGGGTGGGGGGGGGGGCTACTCTCAGTGTAAATTACAATTTTCTGCAAGTAAGTCAAAGGCTTACGTAAAGGGCGGAGCGGAGGTCCACCAAAACAACAAGCGACTCCCTCTCTCTGTCTGATATTTGTTTTCTCAGTTTTATCAAATAAAATATTGGCATATACGGCTATATACTTAACAAGGAATACAACAAGTATTCATATATTAATCAGCCCCCAACAGCAGCTGCAGCAAAAGCAGCAGCTGAGACTGCGGCGGCGACTGCGGCGGCGGCTGCGACTGCGACTGCGAGAGCCCGAGTGGCCAGCGCAGCCGAGAGCTCGAGAGCTGAGGACAGCGGCAAAGTCACGCGGATTTCAATATGACCCAAAGCCCACTGTCTAGCAAAGTTCTAAGCACGTGTTGCGGACACACCGGCCACCCATACACGCTCAGAATTAATTGAGAGAGAGAGAGTGAGAAGCAGGGACAGGGAGTGCGAGCGGGAGAGGGAGGGCAGACAGCTAGCGAGCGAGCGATAGAGAGAGCAGGCAGTAGAGGGCACGTTGGACGACGCTTGCATTTGGCATACACTCACCGATACACAGATACAGATACACAGATACAAATCACTTTGACAAAAAGCTAGAAAAATTTCCAAAGCTGCCGCTCTCCCACTCTACCCTTCGCTCCCGTTCACGCTTACAGCTACAGTGGGCCTTGGCCACGCCAGGCCGTTCGCAGCAGGGCCTCCCTTCCGGGGACACTGTACGCAGGCCTCACTGTGTCCCCAGCCCACGGATCACAAGTGCGTGCCAATCTGTGTGTGGCATTGATGCGTGTGCAACACGTGACGTAGGCGCAATGTGATGCGACTGAGTCTCTGCCGCAAGCTGATTAAATGCCAAGTCATGGCGGTGGAGGGGAGCAAGGGCTAGCAGTGGGAGTGGGTCACTCTCTCTCTCCCTCTCTCTGTGTGCATGGTGTGGTCGCATCTCAAGGGGCAAGGCTGTAAGTGGGTGCCACTGCGCAAAATGCGTCATACAGAGCGTATACTTGATCTTTTTAGCAATTAAAAAATAGTGCTTTAAAGTCCCCTACCCCATAGCCTAGACGAGTTCGATATCCTGGCATTTCCAGCCCCCTCCAAAGGGAAATCCTTCGCATATTCTCGAATAATTCTATAAATATCTCGGGGAAAAGCATTCCGTTTATTCTATTTATAATCCCTGTCTTGAGACCTGTCGCACAAGCCCTTTTTGTGTTGCTTTCTTTTGTTGCGTCAAAAGAAAACCTTCTCCCCAATCAGTTGTGCACCTGCACCTGCACCCTTCCACCCTCTGGGTGGGGAGGGGGGGGTGTCACCTGTTCCGTCACTTCAAAATCGAACATCGGTTATTGGATATATCGTGTATACGCCCTGTGGTCCGGCCACTGCGACTATTTTAAGCAACAAGTCAACATTTAGCTTCGGCTCATCAGCTCCTCGGCTCGTCGGCTCCTCGGCTGCTCGGCTGCTCGGCTTCTCGGCTCCTGGGATCCTGCCAATGGCAGCAGGATGCGCCACGGTCGAAGCCCATTGGCCGGGCTTATGTGCCGAACGGCCGGAGCCAATGGCAGGCCACGGCAAACGGCAACAGGCATACGGGCGCATACACGGGCATACGATGCGGAAAAGCGACGCCAACAGAGCCACGGCGGCAGAGGCAGCGACGCCGGCCGAGACGGCCGGCGGCGGCCGAGGCAGCGACAACGTTGTCAGGTTTTCTGTTTGTTTTGTTGTCAGTTGTTGTATTTTGTGTTATCACGTTTCGCTACCACGTGCGCCGGCCTCTGCTTCTCGCTCTCCCACTCTCTCGTTCTCGCTCTGTGGGGAGCCGTGCAGCTGTGTGCGTGTGCTTCTGAGTACCACACAGATACAATGAGTGGCGCTTGCCAGTGAATGAATGAGCCCTGCCGTTGGGGCAGCGGGAGCGGGAGCGGGAGCGGGAGCGGGAGCGGGAGAGCACACAAACAAACTCGAGACGAAGCTCTACTGCTGCTGTTGCCTCTTCTGTGGGTTTGTTTCCCCCCTTGTCAGCTCTTGTCTCACTTCCCCGTTTATAAATAGCCAATTTAAAGCACACTCACACACACACACACCCAGTGACTCACACACACACACACACACGCACACGTTGGATGTTTTTTCAGATACGTTTTGCATCTGGGAAATCGAATAAGAAAACTGGCTATCGGACTGATGAAAACAAATTAATTGCCGAACAAATTGAGCAGCATAGAGGGCATCCCCACCCTCGCATTGGTAGGGGTATTTCCGCACCACAAAAGACGACTGCACTTCCAGGGCAAAGTCGCAAAATACTTTTCCATTCCATTCGGTTGTGTTTGTGTGTGCCGTCTGGGGTTCTCTCTGGGTCTCCGATTCTCAAGTTCTCTGGCGACGGCCATGGCTGTGGCTCCGGCTCCGGCTCCGGCTATGGCGACGTTAGTGTCGCGTTTGCACGTGTTGAGTGCAGCAGGTCATAAATTAACGTTTTGCTAAATAATTATTTAGAAATGCTGAAATGTTTAAACGCTTTTTACGACAGCCACCCCGTGTGCTGGGGCTTATTAAATCCGAAAAACCAGTTGACCCAGATAGGGGTTCTGTAAACGACACCACAAACGCCACGAGAGGTGTTAACGAGAGCGAGAGCCACAGTGGGGATGGGGATGGGGATGGGGAGGGCGATGGGGGATGGGGGATTGAGCAAAGGGTGACTTTTTGCTCTAATTACTTTTGTTATTTATGCACTCAGATCTACAGATCTTTCTGGGTTGATGATCGTATATAGATAAAAGATAGATAGATAAACGACTGATAGTACAGCAGATTGAGGTATCTATAGAGTGTCACCAGACAGAATCGATAGATGGATAGATCGATAGAATTCATTGTGGTTTCCCCTTTTCGTTGGTGGCACTTGGGACTCTTTCCTTTTGGACTCTTTGAAATGCCTCTGAACACGCGCGCTCTGTTGTCTATTGGGTCGTACATTTTATGGCCTCTCGTGAAACTAGTTGGCGATTTTTTTAGGTTTAAGAAATAAAAATTATATAGCAGGTCGGCTTATCAGAGGGGACAACCGGTTCGATCCATCGACTTAGTGCTGACCGCACGAAAGACAGCATAAAACAATAAAAGTGCTGCGATACGGGTATCAGTTGCCCCGACCATGACAGTGACAATGATTCGAGGCCACTTTCCATGCGAATGCGGTGCAAATTGGGGGAATCAGGTGAAATGTAGGTATTTCTAGAGCATCGGAAATGGAAATGGAAATGGATTTAGTAGGTGCTAATATTACAACCGTGTGGAAGGGGGCACAGGGTGGGAAAAACGCTGACGGTCTGGAGGCACTGGAGAAGGCACTGAAATTTGAGTAGTGTCCAGACGGGCCCATTCCATGGAAATCCAAGAAAAGTCCAAGAAACGTTCGACACTCTGCTGACGTCGGCGTCGAACACACTGCCCAAACATGTGACCCACGGCAGAAGGGAACGGAGGCAGAGACAGAGACAGAGACAGAGAGGCAGGGAGGCAGACAGAAAGAGAAAACAACAAACGAATAACGATGAACGAATAACGATGAACGAATAACGAGCGAGAGCCAACGTCAGAGATTTCAATTCTAATTGTTGTCGTAGGCAACGGCAACGGCAACGGCAGCGACAGCGACAGCGAAAACGATGAGGGAAAAAACAAAGATTCTAATTAATTGTTAACGCGGCGTATGAATGATATCGAGGCGGTGTGATAGAGAGAGACGGAGAGGGAGGCCACGTGCTACTGACTCTAGTTTAATGATGGCTGGCAGAGGAGGGGAATATTCATAGCAAAGCGCCAGACTATTTGCCTACAGCAGCGCCAGAGACCCTCGAACGGAAAGCACGCAAAGCTTTCTGCTGGCGGAGCTTTCCGCGTAAGCCCTAGTCCAGCCGCCGCCAGAGGGCGCACGCTGAAAGCTTTCGCTTGCGGTTCAAGGCATACAAAAAGCATACAAAAGAGCTTTTCATTGCATTCCCATTTCCCATAGAAATCTACGAACAAAAAGGTAATTCTAAATCACTCCAATCAATAAACAATGACATTCGAAATGGGAAACAAAAGCTCGGAATAATTTCCGACTAAATTTGATTTATTTCCCTGTCAATCAAATATTTAATTATAATTTTATACGAATTTCGGACATCGCCTTCAATTAGTAGATCAATTAGTATCCACTATACAATATATATGTACATATATATATTCTCGATACAGATACCCGAAAAAACCAACAATTTCGCCCCATTCAAACAATGCCAAACGAATTGGAGTGAAAACATTTTTTCTCATTAGATTAGGCATGAATTAAATGTGTTTTTTGTGTGTTTTGTGCGTTTTGTGTGTCTATATTTAATGGGCGGCCCTCTTCGGCTCGTTCTGTTTATTTATAACCGAAATTCATTCAGAAAATGTCAATGGTTGACGTGTCGTTGCCACTGGCAGTCGTCGGAGGGCGCCACACCGCTAGAAAATCCAATCAAATTTTTCGTTGGGCAGCTGCTGCCCAGAACACCACGCGTTCAAATATTCCAAGTAACAAAAGAGTTTCAGCAGAATGTATATCTACGGTATATATCTGCGGTTATTTATAAACGAAGATGAGCTTCCACTTTTCATGTGGTTTTATTTTCTGCCAAAGAATTTCCCCGAACACCCAACACCCAACACACTTTGTCTTCTGACAGTTTTCGAAATGTGTAAAACATCGTTTAAAACGCACAGCACAGAACAGGGCAGGGCAGGGCAGGGCAGGGCGCACAAAATCAAAGGCGCTTTTCCACGCGTTTTCACGCGGTT